TGATCACGTCACGGTTTGACACAAGCCTAACCCTGACAACCTGAAGAACCTAACATAATGAGCTGAAAACTTCAAGATACATGTCTTCTTCCCCGTCATTAGTACTCCAAGGCGCAATTAACAACATTACCCACAATTTTGCTAGATTGCAGAGAAAGAAGGCACATTTCTTTGTTTTAATTTCCTTTTCTCTTTTCTTTTTTTTGTCGGTAAATTTTAACTATTTTTCTTCCCCTTCTAAATATTTAATCTATATCATAACATACTCTATTCAAATATTTGCCTCAGAACTAGTACAGTAACCAATCAGTATGCTTCAGCGATATGGAAGAGAAGAAAGCCACTGCTCTGCATACTTCTTATATATTTCAATAAAGTTCTTATCTTTTTCCAAAACAAACAAATAAACTAACAAACCCTTAACAAACAAAATTAAGTTCCATTCAAGGTATAACACATTAATGCACACAATTTCAACATGTGATGAACTGAGAGACATAAAAGGTTGCTCACAAGGCAATCTTAACCATGGAGTCTAGGTCATCAATTTGGGCTGTCATTGATCAAATACTCAGACACAAGAAATAAGCATATCTGTAACTTAATTTAACACATGATTAATTTAATACTCAGAAATAAGGCAACCTTAAACATGATTAAATACTCAGAAACAAGGCAACCTGAAACATGATTAATTTGACACAGTGAAAGCCCTAAGTAATTAGCAGAACACAGTCGAAGCCCTATCAGAACACAGTCGAAGCCCTGAAAAAATAAGCAAATCTCTACAAAGACAAGAAGAGAAGAGAAGAGAAGAGAAGAAGCTGAAGCCCTAATTACTAAAAAAATAACAAAATAAAAACACAGAACACAGTTTCTGATCACCGATCGAAGACAAAAAGCGAAGAGAAGAGAAGAGAAGAGAAGAGAAGATTACCTTCGAATCGATGCTTCGATCGCTGCTCGCCACCACCACTGTCGCCGATCACCGATCGTCGATAGCCACCATTGTCACCGACGCCGATTGTTTCTCGTCTCCTCCGTTCAAGTGTGTGTGTGTGAGATAAGTGACTTTTTGATTGTGAGAGAGAGACAGACATAGAGAGAGAAGGCCATAACAGTCATTCAGAAACTATAATAGTCATATGTGGTACATCCAATAGCAAAACAGTACAGTAGGTCTTATCAGACCGAACAGTCAGTTGATGGCCATCATATCAGTAAACAGTAGTGGTTCCAACATGGGAACTGACAGAGATCTCTGTGACAGTCGCAGTATAGTACAATAACAGTAGGCTGCTATGGATGCCACGAATACAGTTCACAAATAGGACATCATTCATTCAGTAACAGTATCATTTCAGAAAACAGTGCAATTCAATTGTTCAAAAGATAATCATTATTGAATATATCTTTACAACATTGTTACTCATAGAGTTCTGGGCTACAGATAAGCTAGTACGCGTCCTCGGATGCCAACCCTACACAGTTACAGAGTGAACACACACTAAGCTACACAGTTGGGAAATAATCACTTAATCCCTAATTTGCCTCGGTGTGGTTCTACATCAATATCCTCATTAAGATGCCTTAAACTAGGCCTAAGAATGCCTAGAATCGAATGAGGATGCAAAGATGCACTTTAAAAATATTTTCAGAATTTTCAGAAAACAGAGGTCCCGCTCGAGCGTGGGTTTTCCCACTCGAGCGGACATGCAAACAAAAGGCTCTGCTCAAGTGTAAGCTTTCTCGCTCGAGCGTACTGCAAAAGTACTGGATGTGTGAAAATCACGCTCGATGGGCGTTCAACACCCGCTCGAGCGTATGACACAAGTCCTCGCTCAAGCATGCGAAACCCCGCTCGAGCGGACTATAAACACAACAAAAGTGCTGGATACACGAATTTCCCATTCGAGCGCCACTTACCCCGCTCGAGCGAGAGTCTAAAATCTGGAATTTCCAGATTTGAACCTCAAGCTCAAAATCAAGTTTCAATGCATCAAATTAGATCCTTTTGGGCCAATTTGATGGGAAACACTTTACAACTCATAATATAACATGATTCAATGCTCAATTTGTAAAATCAAGGCCCAAAGGTGAGTCAATTAAACACAATTTCAAACAAATTCCATGAACATAATGTAAAACATAGCATGTATGAATTTAATCAACTTCAAGCTTTCAAAACATGAACAAATGAGCCAATTCTTCCTATAACAAGATGAATTCATGGACTATATTCAAGATATGGACATGCATGTGAGGAATTTCCATGAAAACAACTTTAAACTTCAAAATATAAACATGCATGGATGAATTAAGCCTTTATTCAACAACCTACAACCAATTTATGATCTTAAGCTCCTATTTACCATGAACCCTGCAATAATTAACTTGAATTCACAAACAAGAAGGTAAATGTCCTACCTTAGGTCTAGAATGCAAGATGTACTAGCTCAAATTGCATAATTAGCCTTCAATTCTTCTAGTTTCCAAGCCAATTCTCAAATGAAGCCAAGTCTCTCCTCTCTTACTCTTTCTCTCGGTTTGGTCTGTCAAGGATGAACAAGAATGAGTTGCAAGACTAAGCTTTCAACAATATTGGTGAAGAGGCCCACTAGATGGCATTTTAGTAAATAAAGTCAACTTATGTAATTTATCAATATTTAATCTAATTTAATCATACCAAATCACATTCCAATTAAATATACCATAAAATCATATAAATCTTAATTAGCACAAAACATCAATCAATTTCGGATTCGGCCGCCGATAAGGCTTTCAATTTGCAGTTTAAAGCATAAAACATGAACAGATAATTTAACAATCAACAGATAGGATTGCATTCAAACTAGCACAATCAATCAATCAGTTTAGTAATTCAGTCAATCAGTCAGCTAACATGCTTAATCATGGATTAGTACTAATCAGTGGTGAGGTTTGTCACATTCCCTACTGGGTCGTGATTTAACATTTCACATTTTTTAACATTCTCACAAGTTAGACCGGCTCCCTACTTCTCAACCTTTACTATGATTTTTACACAAGCCTTATGTGAATGACCATTCCCATTCTTTTCAGATCCACACACACACACACACACAAAAAAAAAAAAGAAAAAAAAAGAAGACAATAGTATGAAAAACACAACGCATAATTTCATTCATTCACAAACTTACACATAAGTTCACTACAGAAATTACAAAAAAAAAAAAAAACAACAACAACAACAACAACAACCAAATTTTATTTACAAATGCAAAATTTCACATAAATCATTCATCATCGCTTGAGGCAGGTCTTCTTCATCAACCCCTTCATCTAAGGGGGCCTGGCCTGGGCCACATCGTCTTCGTCTATTCTAACATTGCTGAAGTCCAAGTCTGGGAACAACTCTTCTACTTTACATTTAAACATCTTCCAGCCGCTGTCCCAGAACTCCGCCATCTCATGTTTGTAGAAATCCGACCGCTGGAAGCTCTGGATCACTTCAGCTTCGCTCCTACTTCCAGCGGTCGCCCGATGGGCCAGCCGCCCTATCCCCCTCTTTCGCCAAGCTGTTGGCGACTGCGGCATCAATAGCCATTTGGAAGTCGACGGACCCCTTGAACTGCTCTACTGCTGCAATACATAGATCGGGGTACGCCGCCCTCTCAGACGCCAACTTGGTCTTCTCCTCCTCCAAGGCTTTCTCTAGCCCTGCCTTCTCAGCCATCAACTTGACCCTCTCGTCTGCCAGCGCCCGCTCCAACTCAGCGATCTTCAGATCTGCTTCCTCATTTTCTTTGATCGACAGAGCGCGCAAATCTTCATTGCAGACCATGGCTTCGTCCCACCTTTCATTGGCGACGGTGCAGGCTTTCTGGGCCTCTTCTAGCTTCTTCTGCTCGCCAGCCAACTGGAACTCGAGCGACACCACCTTACGGCGTTCCGTCTCCAGCTCTAACTTGGTGGCGAGCAGTTCAGCATTGGCACGGTTGGCTGAATAGCCCTGCACCATCGCCAACACCTCTATCTTTTTGGCTTTCTGGGCCTCTTCCAGCCCCCTAATACACGCACTCCGTGCGATCCTCCTCCACCCTGTAGTCTCTCTCCTTAAACTTTCAAGTTGGGCCTTCACCTCCTCCAACTTTGCCTTCAGTGGCCCAACTTCGTCTTTTGTAGTCGCCGCCTTGTTCAGTAAGGCTCATGCCAAGGCCGTCGCCTCCATCTGGGCCGAGCACAGCCCCCTTAATAGTTCGGCCTCTGTGAAACTGGCCAACGAACGCACGACCGCATCCTCTACCACCCCCAAAAGCCGATCAGTAGCAGTCTTGGCTTCGCCTCCTTCTCCCTCCAATCGCCTAGACACTGCTGGAGCGTGGTAGATGGCAATCTTCAACTTGGTCCTTTCTCCCTCTTCTTGGGCCGCAGGCCCCTCCTTAGGCCGTTGCTCTGCTCCCTCCTCAGGCCCAGCCGACCCACCTTCCACTTGTATCTCGGGGCCCATGGCACTCGTGTGTTCTTTTTCCACTTGGGCCCCTTGACCTTCGTCCCCTTGCACCTCTAGGACAACCATCACTTCTGGACTAACCCCCACCCCCCCTTCCACTGCCTTCTCCGCCATGGGCGTGTCCTCGCCACCAACCATCATCTTCTTCGAACCGGCGCATCCTTAGCCCCCTCAGTGGCGACCCTCCTCTTCTTCGACCTCTTCAGCCCTGCCTCCACCTCTCGTCTGCCCCTCTCCTTCAGTGGGTCTATGGGTTATGGCAATGGGGCAAACTCAGTTAGGTTCTTGTCCCCCAAAGGCTTAGGGCGAGGTCAAATCCTCTCCTTCACTACCAATTTCGGAGCAGGCCCCAAGTTTGCCTCTTTATACTTGTCCGCTCTGGCGAACAATCTCCTCTCATCCTCCTCCTCCGCCTTCCTCTGCACCTCCAACTCCTCCATTGCTGGATCCTCCCCCAATGATTACTGTCCCAAGTTCAGGGCAAACAACGTTGAAGGAAGGACCAGCTCATCCCACCTCACTCCTTTCTCTTCCCTCTATTCCCTCACCCTCTTCACTCGGTCCTCAGCCGCCCTGTCCAACTTGGGCTCGACTGACTTGGTGGGAACCTTCCACGTTGTGCGCACTCCTGCCCCACCGTTCGCCATCACAAAGAACCATCTCGGCCTCCACCCCTTTACGAAAGATAAAAGACCTGCCACCAGACCTCACCCCGCCACTATATGCAGAGTCACCCAAGTCTCCTGCTGACCGGAGGCCTTGTACCAGGAGAAGAACTCATCTACTGTCATTGTCGTCCCTCCGGTCGCCTGCTACCAGGTACTTGCGCATGCCATTACTATCTTCTAGGCGTTTGACATCAGCTACCCCGGCGCTGCTTCTAATTTGTTTAGCGCATCCACCACTATTTTGGAAAGAGATAGTCTCAAACCCCCTCGCAACGCTTCCTCGTTGTAGACGTCCCCCGAACGCCCCGGGAGGGTTAGCTCCCGTTCTGTTCATTTGGGGTCACTACAGCTCAGGACTCTAAAATGTCACGGTTCCTAATCTGAATTTGGCATACTTCTTATTTAATCCTTTTGAGGGACACTGGCTTTTTTTACTTCGTGGCCGAACGCTTTTCTTAACAGGGCCCATTTTCGGACCCGAACTGCGTGTTTTGGCTCCCGAACATTCGTTTTGCAACGGCTCGTTCATTTTTGGCAGGTACCCTCTGTTTACATGGGGAAGGTCACTGAAGGACGGGAGCTAATAATTGGTGCAGCGCCAGTTATATCTCCCTGAGCCCTCCGACGCCCGTTTTTCTGACTTTCCGGGCTAATGTTGAACACCTTGAGTAATGTGCCAACTTTCAACCACATATCTGTGATCTACACACATGGAGAGGCCCCTAAAAGTTGGTGGCCGGCCATTAAGGTTTACTTGACCCTTTTGAGCCCCCCTTCCGGACTAATGTTTAAACCCCTTGGGACCAACTTTTTCTCGCGACTTTTTAAACCACATGGTTGTGTTGTACACAATAGTGATTACCTTTACCAGTTGCTGGGCCGGCCAGAAAATATGATTGAACC